AAGGTCTGCACCTTCGACTCCTCCACCTCAAGCGCTTGTAAATTTGGCATTAGAGCCATCAATTTCTCAACATCACCACCCCAATTACCAAATGAAAAGACCATAATTCTGAGTAAGAATTTCTCGAGTCTTTCATTCGCCAGGTCCTCCCACCAACCAGCTTGCCCAGGCATGGATGGGATAAGTCCTTCCAACACATGAAGGCAGTGCTCCTCTCCTGAGCAAAAGCAAGACGCTCTATCAGAGATTATCTCGATTCGCTCCACTCCTTCCAGGACTTCGATGGACCTTCCGGGGTAATTAAGCGCATTTAGATCGGTGATCACGCAGATACGATGAAGGCCTTGAAGAATTGAGCACCATAAACGACAGACGAGCCGGAGTGTCCCCAAGGTACGTTGTATTGCCTGTATTTCGCGATAAAGGTCACATTCCCCGAGAAATACTCCAGTTTTGTCGAGAATGCTACAGTGAAATGCATCTTGGGGCTCGCCGATGAACGGGAAAATGGGCGTAGCGACTATCCGCCGTAAAATCATCCTCCAAATTTCAATGGGTACTCTTTGTATGACGTCTTTATCCATCAGTGATGTTTATTTCGTGATGAATGGGGCGCGTTGATGAAGAATCTAGGGAAGTAGTTGAGGTGGAGGAGTCGAAGGTGCAGACCTTGGGAGAGCCCGGTGTGGTATGGTGCGGAGGCAAGAACATAGTATATTAGGCAACGGGAGGCTGCTATAATATGAATCAACAAAAACTTGTTGCACACCGAATCTAAGGGGCCCAGCACCTTACTCTGTGACCGTGGGGCGTCATTGACATGAAGGCATATCATTCACTGGGGAGTACAATAGTTCTAGGACCATACTTCAGAGAGGCAATTGCTGGTGATACATGACTGTTAGAGGTAAACCACCAATGAAGACAGACTTAAATGACGTCTAATGTATTCTGGTTCTGTCTTCCTTCCTGAATAGTTTCTCTTCACATAGTCAATAAATTGGACAAATCTAAGTATAACAGACCAACTAAACAGGTTTATAAATTGAGCATAGGTTTGAGGCATGCACTCATAAAGAGCATTCTGAGTAAACTCGAAGCTTATAGAGGAGAAGTACAACTATATTCCAAAGTAAACATTTTGGACCAAAATTCCCTCTGAATCACAGAATGAAACAGAGGAGACCTTTATAAATTCGACAAACTTCTTGAAGCGAGCTATTGCAGAGTCACCAACAGCTCCATTCCGCCGTTTCTGCATAAGAATCCCGCTAAAATTTTCCCATGTTTCCGGTATCACCAGTTTTGTAACTTTCCATCGAGCCAACAAAAGAGTCAAAAGCCGATTGGAGATTTCGGGATTCGCGAGGAATGCTGAGAATGAATGGAGTAGAAGGGTAAAGTGTTTTGCTTTGGGTATCTCACGACCAATATAAAGGGAACTTGAGCTACTTTGGACTGGACCTAGGTCTTCGACAAGGTTTTGGAGAGAGGCTCCGTAAAGATGCAAATCAGGGAAATATGAGAACAACGTCGTGAACGTTGAGACCCATTGTCTCTCCCAATGCTCCAAGGGGCACTCAACAAACTCTTCGACTGTACGACCACACTCAATCAAGAAATCTTGAGCCGCAGACTGGAAGACGTTGTCAATGTCTCCGGAAATCTTTAGCGTCTTGAGGTGCGGGAAGAGTGGAAGTTTATTCGGGTGGTTAGATGGTGAATCGAAAGACCATGATCTCATAAAAGAGATATCAAGGTATTGGACAGAGGGTAAGGTAGCCGACCCGTCTAAATAAAAGCTGAAGAAAGACTCACAGGGTATGGTGGCCAGAGAAAGATGGGTGAGATATTTGGCTCTGGTTACCAGCGAGGCGATGGGTTCGAATGATCTGTCAAAGCAGGATGCATGAAGAGCATGGATATTGGTCGCAGCTTTGAGAATCCGTTCAGATTCAGGTGAGTGGCTACGAAGGAATATGGCCTTAACGTTGTGGAGTTGCGTTCGCAAGATCGGTTCTTCAACTTCCCAAAATTTCTGAAATGGTAACCTCTCGAGCTTCTTCATGGTTTCACAGTCCCTATCGCGACACCTGGAAGCCCTGGACGGGCAAAGACAGTAAGAATATATGTATTCACCTATAAGATGGATGACTTCAACCCCTGGAAGATTATTCACATGATTGGAGGGATATGCAAAGTTTTTCGGATCGGTGGAAATAAATAGGTGGCGCCTTGGTAACCTTTCTACGATAGCTGCCCACTTTCGACAGACGGATCGTAAGGTTTTTAAGAAATCTTCGAGAGGTTGAATGAGAAGACTGGGTCGAAAGCTATACTTGAACAGGTTGAAGTTCCGGATCACGGAAGTACTCAGGCGGTTGCGGGTCTCGTCGATAAAAGGGAAGGCATTCGAGTTAGCGCAGGCGTGGTGGAATATCAATACCCAGATCTCAACTGGAATACGATCCTTTAGAGACTCCAGCACGATATGTGACATGTGGCAAACAAAAGCCTGAAATAGCCTAAGCGTGACGTGGAGTGAACCAAGGTAGGCGTAAATGTGCAATCACGGCGCGAAAGCCTTAACTTTCTGAGGGTAACGTGCCCTCAGAAAGTTGGCCGAAAAACCCCTTTCTGAGCAACTGAATTGGCGGTCAATTGAGTTTCTCAGAAAGGGATTTTTCGGCCTACTTTCTGTGGTCACGTGCAGCTCAGAAAGTTAAGGGCTTCGCACCGTGAATTCGGCGCTAGGAGACCTAACGGCATAACAAACCACGTCGTTTCGAAACAACGAGAAGAAATACCAACGAACTAAAATA